GGACTTTTTCGATTTTTTAAGGACATAACAGTGGTGTATACTTCACATTGCTCGACTTTATCCAAAATAAATGAGTTCAAAGTTCTTTTTGGAGGCTGAGTATTTTGTACATTTGCTTGTATATTACTTGCTAAATTTTCGCCTATGTCAGTAAAGAGTTGTACAAATTCATCGCATATCTGTTGAGTATTTTTTAATACTGTTCCCGATGTTGTATTTAACTCAGTGACACACTATTTAAATTTTGTTTTCCCAGTAATCTCATCAATAGTTGTCCAAAGCCGCTTAGGATCATTTAAGTTATTATTCAATTTATTTAGGTAATGTTTTCGTTTGGTTTGCCTTACAAGCTCTATAAATTTATTTTTATATTGGTTGTAGCAGTCAGTATTCTTTGTAGTTGGCGTTAGTTTCATTACATTATATAGTCTTTCGTTTTCTATTGCCGATGTTATTAATCCTTTGGTAATCCAGGCATTTCTGCTTTTCTCTTTGTGACTAATTATTACTTTATTGGTACTAATATCTATTAGTTTTTTTATTTTCTCTATGAACAGTCCTGTTGCTTTGTCTATATTATTTATAGAGTATAATTGTTCCCAGGATTCTTGTTTGACATTTGATATTAGTTTTGAATTGTCGACAAAAAATTTGTAATTTTCCTGGTTGTTATTAACGGTAGGGATGTTAGAATGTTTTTCATTTGAAGATATCAGTAAAATAGTGGAGAAGTGGTCAGTAATATCGCTTTCTAGGATTATTGGTATACAAGTAATTTTGTTGGATAGGTCTTTCACAAAGCAGTGATCTATACATGTGCCACTGATGGACCTTGTAGGTAGGTTTATATAGGACAGAAATCCGTTACTTGATAGGATATTCAAGTATTCATTTGTGATGGGATCATCGTCCAAATATAGGGGGATACATGGGAAAGGGGGAACGCCACACGGACTCTGGCGAGGGAACACGTGTGCATGCAACACGCAGACATTCTGGCTCCGCCTACGAGATCCGCCGGGTGGTACTTCCGCGTTCGACAGTCAGAGACCGTCTACCACCTACGGACAATCACAACATCCTTAGCCAAGAGAAAAATTTCTCCTGGGACGGGACTCGAACCCGCACAGCGCACGGCGACTGATCAGGAGACCGAAGAGTCTACTACTGCGGCCACCGATGCTGCCTAACAGGCAACAGACAACTCTTGAAAAGTTGCTATCGTTATAGACGTTGACGTGTTTTTTCTGCTCGTCCACCATATTGAGAAAATAGAGTCCAAAAATCGTTTTTAAAAGTATCTGCGCTCTGAATCTTTTTACCGTAAATTAAGCTATACAGGGTTTGTCCGGAAAGTAATAGGACTCATTTTCTTCCGCCATGACTGTACTGGATGCGGTAGAAGGCGTTCCTAGCTAACGAATGAGCGGCTGGTCAGTTGTCTTCGAGCACTTGGAGAGCAAGGACGGGCATTTTCGCGCGACGTGTTTCTGTGTGTGGTGCAAGCCGAAAATGCAGCGTTCGTTAGAGCAGAAGAAAGCGATTAAATTCTGTGTGAAACTCGGTAAATCTGCGACAGAGTCGTTTGATATGATCAAGCAGGCTTACCCAGGTGTTGCTTTAGCAAGAAGTGGTGTGTTTCGGTGGCACCAGGCCTTTTTGGAGGGCCGGGAAGAGGTCGCTGATGAAGACCGTGCTAAAAGACAAACACCGATAATGAGACTCGTGTGCGCAAAGTTTTTTAATCAGACCGTCGTCTAAATATTCGTTTAATTGCCCAGATGTTGAATTTACCAAAATCTGTGGTTCATGTCATTGTGACACAGCATTTGAATATGCGCAAGGTGTGCGCGAAGATGGACCCAAAAGTGCTCAATGACGACCAGAAATTGCGGCGAGTGGAAGTGTGCCAAGAAAATTTGAACATGTGTGAAAGTGACCCCCAATTTTTGAATAACGTAATCACAGGTGACGAGTCGTGGATCTTTGAGTATGATCCCGAGACAAAGAGGCAATTTTCCGAGCGGCACACGACGGCGTCTCCTCGCCCAAAAAAGGGAAGAATGAGCAACTCCAAAGTGAAAACGATGCTCATTGTCTTTTTTGACATCAAAGGCATCGTCCACCATGAATTTGTTCCTCCTGGACAAACCGCCAACGCCAAGTTTTACGTGGAAGTGCTCAGGTGACTCAAACGAAGGGTCAGTCGGGTCCGACAAGACATCGCAGCTGACTGGAAGTTGCGCCACGACAACGCCCCGGCTCACACCGCCTTTCTTGTGAACAGCTACCTGGCCAAGGCCGGCATCCCAACGCTTCCGCAGCCGGACTTTTTTGTTTCCTCGCCTGAAAAGGCCGATGAAAGCCAAGGATTCTGAGACGACAGAGGGGATCCAAGCTGCATCGACGCAGAAGGAGCCTATTTTGTTTTTAAAGAATTGTAACGATTGGCTCAATAAATTTTTTTAAATCGACTCAGTCCTATTACTTTACGGACAAACCCTGTATAATTATTTTATCGCAAAATGAGCTATAGACAGAATAGGTGTGAAGATAGGTATGTGTAGATTCGGAATAAACACAGAAATGTGTAACGACATGAACTTTTTAAAAGCAAGTAACTGTCTTTTTTGAACACCAAATGATTGGACTACAAGTTATTGCAATGTTTTCTTAGACCGTTGTCCTCTACGCTATTTTTAACTTGACCGTTGTTTTTTATTTTTTCATTCTAACCGGTATTGATTGATGACATTGTCTTCACAGTGTCGAGATATAAATTGCCTGCGACTTTTTCTGCTTCATAGTCGGTTCCCCTCGAGAAGCGATGAACGATGTGTCTTTAGCATGCCAAGAAAAACTTAACTGACCTACTTGTAGGTCGGCATGTGATGCCAATGTACTTATTTCAATTCAGTTAATCTATTTTGAAGAAATCATGAAATTAAGTAATTTAACTGGTCTTCAAATTTTTATTTTCTAAAATCGATAAATTATTTGATGTTGCTTAAAAATTTAATAAGGTCTGGCAAACATCTCAAATTGAGACGCGTACACCAATGCTGAATGAGAAAGATAGAAAATTGCAGATAAGAGATGGATAGCAGCGTTGGCCGGCATTTTGAAAAATACAAATTTTAGTTATTTTAGCACTTCCCCTATATTAAGAGTGGTAACCTGGATTTGTTCAATAAGCTGTTTAATTGCACGGTAAAATTTATAAATTCAGTTTAAATTACATAATGTCGAAGTAGCAAATTTTTACTGCACGCCACTGGAGATAATAACGTTCAATGAGTACTTCAATATTTTCTCGGGCGCAAAAATGCAACAGTATGGGAAAGGGAAACCCCAAAAAAGTCGTTTTTTTAAGGAAAAATGTAACACTTTTTAGAATAATTTGAGTTATAGCTAACTCTCGAAGAAATTGAGAAATTTCTTTTGTTAGGATAGTCCAAAGATCAAAAAGATGCATAGACAAGTTTCCAAGATCAAAATTATTTTTATTTATTATTTTAATTAGATTGTTCTACATCCTGAGAACGTGAAACGAAAAATATACTAAGTGACATATAAATCCGAACACCCAGTTTAAATGGTTTTATTTTAATAAAAGTTGGTGAATGTATTTATCTTACTGTAAATAACAAGTGGAAAAATTTTCAGCATTATCAGTTGGACATTCCGGTATTTATACTGCTTTTTTTTAATTCACTAACGCTCTAAAAATGAATATTTCAGCCGCAGTAAAGAATCAACGTTGGCGGATTTTGGTTCTTGACATCCTTTACGATCGGTTACGATGCCTAGAGTACGGAGACCTGTACGATTTCGTCAACTTAGTGAGTTTGATAGGGGCCGTATAGTGGGACTTCGGGAAGCTGGACTTTCTTTTCGGGCAATTACAGTTAGAAAGCAAAGAAGTGTAGACACTGTGGTTAGGTGTTGTCAGGCATGGCTTCGAGAAGGCCGTACGCAAAGCGCAAGGGGCACTGGACGCCGCCGTAGAACAACAGACCGTGAAGACCGCCGCCTAAGATTATTGACCTTAAGGGACCGTTTCTCCACTACCAGGTCCATTTCAAATGAATGGTTTGCAGAACACGGAAGACCTATTGGCATGCGAAGTGTTTGCCGACGAATGAGAAGTTTTGGCTTGTTTTCATACCGGCCACACTGGGTCCTCCCTTTAACTCGAGAACACCGACGTAATCGCCTTGAGTGGTGCAGACAACGGTCACTCTGGGATCAGGAATGGCACAGTATTGTCTTTAGTGACGAGTCTCGATTTTGTTTAGGCATGCACGATGGTCGTGCCAGGGTCAGAAGGCGACGTGGTGAAAGGAGGAATCCACAGTTTTTTGTTGAAAGACATGTTCATCACACTGTTGGAGTTATGGTTTGGGGTGCTATAGCTTATGGTTCCAGGTCACCTTTAATCTTCATCAGAGGTAACATGAACGCGCAGCATTATATCCACGAAATTCTAGAACCCCATCTTTTACCCTATCTTGACACCCTGGGCAGATCCAACTTTCCAACAAGATAATGCCCGACCACATGTTGCAAGAGTCACAATAGACTTCTTTCAACATAATGATGTCACATTGTTACCATGGCCACCAAGATTTCCCGACTTATCCCCAATTAAGCACGTGTGGGATATGATGGGTAGGAGATTGCTCAATTTGCAACGTCCTCCTCAGACTCTAGAAGCACTTCGAGAGGAGTTGGTGGTTGCCTGGAATGAGATACCACAGGAGGACAGTGACCACCTGATCAGAAGCATGCCTAGGCGCGTTGGAGAATGCGTAGCACATCACGGTGCATCCACACATTATTAAAGGTCAAAGGGCTTTAAAGCAGTGCAATCATTTTGAAATTTTTATCATTTACTTATTATGCTTCATTAAGTACTTATACAAAATTTTATAAAAATAAAACCATTTAAACTGGGTGTTCGGATTTATATGTCACTTAGTATAATACTCTCCCTGTAGTGCCTAGCTTAAATCCAACAAGACGGATCCCTCCCACCCAAAATCAATGTTATACAAACCGGTATACCTCAAACCGAAGCCCAGGGAGTTAAGAGTGGAACCTCCAGAAGGAAGACCGCCCCCAGTGCCGCCTCCAGCGTACTGGGGAGTTCCTACCCTCAAGCCGCCACCGCCGTCCCCTGAACCTGGAGTGGAAAAATATGAAAGGGCTGAGTCGGAGAGTGAGTTCGAAGATGTGGAACGATTGCCGATACTGATAGCAAGGTACAACGTTTTTCAATTTCTGAAGATTAAAGTCAAACAATATGTTTACGTATGATTGTTTCAATCGTGTTGGCCGTCAGGCATAGTCCAGGGAAGGAAAAAAAATATTCTAAATAAGACAAACGTACCTCGTACGTACTCGAAAATTTAGTTTTTTTATGGTCCAATGCAAAATAATTTCCAACAAAAAGTTCCTACAAGTCTCTGACTCTGATAAATCCGTCTGGCGTGCTCACCATTACCGTCGGCAAGGCCATATACGCAATGCATTTCCGCCATTTCTGCATTTGAATAATTCACCATTATTAACAAGATGGTAAAAACTAAATAATGAAAAAGATGTCCCAGCGAACAGATTTGAATTACAGAGACTTGTCAGATGTCAAAAGCAAGTGACATTATCCGGAGCAACTAGATATTTATTGCTAAATTGCATTCTTCAATTATTACATTAATTTTACCGGACAATAGAGCGGTTTTTATTTTTTTACTCAAAAATGGTGCATCAAAAGAAAACAATTCGAGAGAGATTATTTGTTTTAAATTGATTGGGGAATTCAAACATAATTTTTATTTGGAAAAAAACCATTGGCGTACCATTTTTTCCTTAAAAAAATATCGAAATCAATACCCGCACGCACGCCACTGTTGAAGCTAAAAATTATTTTTGCATTGACGAATATGCAACGTTATCAACTTTCACTACGTACTTCAACACCCCGAGTTTTTGTAAGGAAACATTTTTGGACCATAGTTTATAAAGCAAACTAACATTAATTTTTCATGTAGATTCACACCCTTAAATATTCGCATATCATTTAGGAACACCCTGTATAATCTAATGTCAAAATCATTTAACTAAAAAAATGTTTGAGATTTTTCTGAACGGTGCGCTTCAATATTTTGGTAGCCTCAAAAAAATTGAGCCAAATCCCCAACCCCAAGAACGTGTCGTCTCCTTGTTAAGCAATATTTGCTATACAGGGTGGCTCATCCATGTGTGGACGGAATATTACTCATAAACAAATACATTTTGGGAACATCTATTTATGGGATGTTATACATGACATTTGATGGCACATTTCTAAAATATTGGCTATTATACAGGGTGTCCCAATGTTGACCTACATATCAAAGCTGTGATTTTTCAAATGGAATGCCTCAAATTTTATTGCATATTTGGATAAACCAATTCAAAAGAAGAAAATTGATAGAACATAGTATGGGGTTTTAGTAGTTAGCTACTGAGATATAAGGTGTTTTGTTTAGAAAAAACCCCCACTTCGGCAAACCCTCAGTCCGCCATTTTGAAATTTGGAGTGCTGAATTATGTATCAGAAAAAACTTACACACCTCAGCTTTTATATTATTTGTTACTTTTTCGAATTTTAATTTTTGCTTATACAGGGTGGTCAAAAACGCAAATTTTTGTTTTTCTCAAAAATTTCAAACGCACCACCCTGTAGATTTGTGCAAGTTTGGTATCATTTTTTATAAGCAATAAATATGCAATAAAATTTGAGGCACTCCATTTAAAAAATCACAACTTTGATATGAAGGTCAAAATTGGGACACCCTGTATAATTGCCAATATTTTAGAATTGTGCCCTCAAATGTCATGTATAACATCCCATAAATAGATTTTCCCAAAATGTATTTGTTTATGAGTAATATTCCGTCGACGCATGGATGGGCCACCCTGTATATGGATTCATTGAGCCAATCTACTTGATGCCACATTTTTAGTTACAAAATCGTGATCCCAGCCGAAGCCACAAGAGATGTTCTTGCTGGTAGAGTATCCTACCTATTGGTAGACAATAAAGGAATGACCGTTTTTAAGCCGGTGCATGTTTTTGCCGCTCTCAAATTGAAAAAAAAAACCATCCACCATTTAGAAAACTATGCATCTGTGGGAGCTCATGAGAGAATTCTGGATAGCAAGCCAATAGAAAGAGTAGGATTGGGGTACAGAAGAAAATATATCAGTCCAGAGTTGGTCGGAAGGGGAATATATGTAAGTGAATACGTTGCTAAAAGAGTAAGAAAAACTGAATTTGGTTTGAATTGAACATAATTATAATTATTTACGATATTTCTAATATATTGGTGATATTTCAAGCTCATTACTATCTAAATAAATAAAAATCATTTCTCATAGTCTAAGTAACATAGTATTATCAAGTATTCTCAAGTATACTAAGTGACATATAAATCCGAACACCCAGTTTAAATGGTTTTATTTTAATAACAGCTGGTGAATGTATTTATTTTAGTGTAAATAACAAGTGAAAAAATTTTCAGCCTTATCAGTTGGACATTCCGGTTTTCATACTGCTTTTTGTTAATTCACTAACGCTCTAAAAATGAATATTTCAGCCGCAGTAAAGAATCAACGTTGGCGGAGTTTGGTTCTTGACATCCTTTACGATCGGTTGCGATGCCTAGAGTACGGAGACCTGTACGATTTCGTCAACTTAGTGAGTGTGATAGGGGCCGTATAGTGGGACTTCGGGAAGCTGGACTTTCTTTTCGGGCAATTGCAGTTAGAGTGCAAAGAAGTGTAGACACTGTGGTTAGGTGTTGTCATGCATGGCTTCGAGAAGGCCGTACACAAAGAGCAAGGGGCACTGGACGCCGCCGTAGAACAACAGACCGTGAAGATCGCCGCCTAAGATTATTGGCCTTAAGGGACCGTTTCTCCACTACCAGGTCCATTGCAAATGAATGGTTTGCAGAACACGGAAGACCTATTGGCATGCGAAGTGTTTACCGACGAATGAGAAGTTTTGGCTTGTTTTCATACCAGCCAAACTGGGTCCTCCCTTTAACTCGAGAACACCGACGTAATCGCCTTGAGTGGTGCAGACAACGGTCACTCTGAGATCAGGAATGGAACAGTATTGTCTTTAGTGACGAGTCTCGATTTTGTTTAGTCATGCACGATGGTCGTGCCAGGGTTAGAAGGCGACGTGGTGAAAGGAGGAATCCACAGTTTTTTGTTGAAAGACATGTTCATCACACTGTTGGAGTTATGGTTACTATAGCTTATGGTGCCAGGTCACCTTTAATCTTCATCAGAGGTAACATGAACGCGCAGCGTTATATCCACGAAGTTCTAGAACCCCATCTTTTACCCTATCTTGAGACCCTGGCAGATCCAACTTTCCAACAAGATAATGCCCGACCACATGTTGCAAGAGTCACAATAGACTTCTTTCAACATAATGATGTCACATTGTTACCATGGTCACCAAGATCTCCCGACTTATCCCCAATTGAGCACGTGTAGGATATGGTGGGTAGGACATTGCTCAATTTGCAACGTCCTCCTCAGACTCTAGAAGCACTTCGAGAGGAGTTGGTGGTTGCCTGGAATGAGATACCACAGGAGGACATTGACCACCTGATCAGAAGCATGCCTAGGCGCGTTGGAGAATGCGTAGCACATCAGGGTGCATCCACACATTATTCAAGGTCAAAGGGCTTTAAAGCAGTGCGATCATTTTGAAATTTTTATCATTTACTTATTATGCTTCATTAAGTACTTATACAAAATTTTATTAAAATAAAACCATTTAAACTGGGTGTACGGATTTATATGTCACTTAGTATACATATTACTCAAATATAACATTCTTTAATTTTACTTGGTTTTAACGGCATTTGAAAACTGTTCTAAAGGATTTTTCTGAGTTACCGATGATTTCGTGTTCAACATTCAACACTTTACATGGCAATTATATTTTTGCAAAATTATATGAACTGACTCCAAATCAATCAAAGTACAGAAATACGCGAATCCTTATTATTGGAATTTGGTTAGTCAGTTCTGTGTTTGTAGAGAATTAGGTGTCATTTTTATAGCGTTTCTTTAACATGTTGGTATTGTAGCATCCGATAGAACCAATATTCCGCTTGGAGGACTACGGGGCGGAAGCTGTTAAAAAACAACTTGCAATGAGAAGACTATTGCAGACCAAAACGTTGTACAAACCAAAGCCCTTTGATCCAGAAATACTGGGAAGAAACATTTTTGTAAGTTTGTTGTATTTGTGGCGTCTACGTGAAATACATATTTTATTTACAAATAAATGTTTCACACATCAACAACCATCGATCTTAACCACCAACACAAAAATATCACAGAACCAAAATAGTTTCAGGACTTATTTACTGACTCATCTGGGGTTTCTGAACAGTTCTAAAAAACTGTTCAGAAACCCCCTGAACATCAAGAGCTAGTGTTCCAAATGTCTGTCAGATGGGCTCTTGGTTAGTTATTTCTGAAAATGCAAACTAGTGCTATTATATAGAAATGAAATCTTCAAAATAATTTTAATGAACAATCACAGACTCGATATGACAGTAGGTGATTTGATTTTATTTTTGTTGGAGTAAAATATACAAAAATACGATGCTGGTTCGGCTATACAGGGTGTTTCAGTTTATTGTTTGTTCGATAGAACTTTTAAAATTATTGCATACAGTCTATATAAACATGGGTCGAAAAATGCGTGGCTTCCGAAATACAGTGTGTTTAAATTTACTCTCTAAAATGTATTTTGAACAATATTTGATGTATAACAGTGAAAATTGGTATACAAGGTTTTTATGGTACGACCAAACGAACCATGGGCATAGTTTTACTGTAGCCGCTAGAGGGCGCTCCCTACTGTACCTGTAGTATGGAGATATTTCGATTTTTAAGGTTCGGTGCATTTTTAATTATTTATGGGAAAATAATATTTTTTTTTACATTTTCGATTTGGGTATTACAAGTAATTAAGACGATCGTTTAGATTGTGATTTTAAACACAGCAATAATTGCTAACTCCAAATAAACACAAAAAAACAGAATATTAATTTCTTTAATTTTCCAATATCACTTTTAACAAATTAAATTAATTATCTACAACTAAAATGCTATTGGATAGTTAGGACAAACATACAAAATCTAAAGTAGTTGCTCGAAATGTAAACCCAATTGTTCAATACACAATTCACATCTACGAATGATCGAACGTGGTATAGCATTATTCAAATAAGGCCTTCTTTCATCACATGCATTCCTGATTCTGTCTATTAGAATATCTCTTGTGGTTACGGGAGTCTGGTACACTTTTTCTTTTAGAAATCCCCACACAAAGAAATCTAATGGATGTAGGTCAGGGGATCGTGGAGGCCAGGCGACTGGTCCTCCACGGCCGATCCATCTTTCTGGATAATTTTCGTCCAGCCAGTTTCTAACTATTCTCAAATAATGAGCTGGACAACCATCAAGCTGGAACCAGGCCAATCTTCTTAAATCTAACATAACATCATCCCACATATTTGTGTTCAGCCTTTAAAAATTCCAAGAAGGTCGCAGCATTTAACCTTGCAGGCAAAAGGTAGGGTCCAAATAGTCGATTACGGTAGATACCAATCCACACGTTCACACTAAATTCATGCTGAAAATTTCTTTCCCGAACTGCATGCGGAATTCCATGCTACCAAATATGTTGATTATGAAAATTTACCACTCCACGTCTAGTGAAGCATGACTCTTCGGTCCATAAAACGTTACTTAAAAACTCCCTATTATTATCAGTTCTATCAAGAATCCAGTGACAAAATGTGATTCTTCGTTCTCCGTCCCCTGGCTGTAGTCCTTGCACAGATTGCAAATGGTAAGGACATCTATGGTCATTTCTAAGAACACGGTGAACATGGCTTGCTGAAATTCCCAAGGCACCAGAAACTCTCCTAACACTTGTGGTCGGATCTCTATCAAACTCACGCAGAATCATACGGGTAAATCTGCGCTGACGAACATTTATGTTTTGATCCCTTTGGAGATTTCCAAAACCATTTTCAATTATTTGGCGATGCACTCTTACAAATTACTGAGCGAGTTGGATGTGTTTGGAAATCTTCGTGCGTATTCTCTGGCTGCTTCTGCTGCGTTTCCATTTACAAAGCCATACACAAAATGAATATCCACTAACTCTTGATTGGAGAATAAAAATGGTATTTTTATAAAACTTACAAAAAAAACAGGTAAAAAAAACTAAATTTCGTGCATTCACAATTGCAAAAAAACGTTTCAGGTTTCAACGGACAACAAAGCTAACTGTAAAGTAATTGACGTTTAACCTTATTCTGCTTTCAATTTCAAAATTATTTGCAGGCACAGCCTACTTCTAAAAATTATCGAGATACTGACTTTTTAACGTTATTTTATCATAAATAATTAAAAATGCTTCGAACCTTAAAAATCAAAATATCTCAAAAACGGCTAACTATAACGAAAATTCACAAGAGAGCTTTTTTATGTTGAAAAGCGCGAAGAATCAGTTTTTTTATTCAAAAAGCAAAAAATTGCACTAAGAAAATTTGTTCGGTCATTTTAATACACTACAGGTACAGTAGAGAGCGCCCTCTAGCGGCTACAGTAAAACTATACCCATGGTTCGTTTTGTCGTACCAAAAAACCCTTGTATACCAATTTTCACTATTATACATCAAATATTGTTCGAGATATTTAAAAAAAACTATTTTAGAAAGTAAATTTAAACACCCTGTATTTCGGAAGCCACGCATTTTTCGACCAATGTTTATATAGACTTTATGCATTAATTTTAAAAGTTCTATCGAATCTGAAAGTTATGCAACAATAAACTGAAACACCCTGTATAATATGAAGAACCTTGTCCCCAAATAATTATCTCAGTTCGCATGGAAAACATCTCAAACTCATTAGGAAGTAATTAACCTGTTATAGTTAGCTATTTCTGTTTCAAAAATTATCATCTGTATGATTTTTTTTTATTCTTATAAACATTGGCTGACTGGTTTTTATCTTGAATATTTGTGAAACGAAATAAAATACGTCCATTTTGTTCATCTTAATATTTTATTGAAACTTATAAATTATGTATGAAAAATAATATCCGACAAATGTCCGCGTCTAGAACCCGTGCAAACCTGAGCGCTCTTGATTACATTTTCAGTCACTTTTTGGTAGGTTTCTGGAGGAATATTTCCAATCGCTTCCGTAATATTGTTCTTCAGCTGCTCTACAGTATTTGGTTTGTTGGCATATACCCGATTTTTCAAAAATCCCCATTAAAAATCCCCATCACCAAATCGCGAAATTAAACGTGCCAGAAATATTGTTAGCAAAAGATTAATTGTTTCCCTGCTGTATAACATGTTGCTCCGCCCTGCTAGAACATGTTTTGCAGGTTAAATTGTTGGAACTGAGGAGCCAGAAAATTTTGCACCATATCACGGTAGCATGGACCTCCAAAGAAATGAGACGCGGAAAGTCTAGAGTCAATCTACTTGATGCCATTTTTCAAATGCTGGTTTGGATAGGATATAAAAATAATGATGTAAAGTGTAAGAGGTTTTTAAAGGCCTTTGACAACCGCACAACTTTGGAAGATATAAAACTATATTTTGTGTCAAACTAATATAGTGTAGTATATTTTCAATGAAATTGTCTGCGGTACTAAACTCGGATAGAATCGTCGATGAGTACCGAGTCGCAACATTCGACACTAATTTTGTGTGACCGAATACGAGTGTATTCTTGACAAATATCTTACGGACCTGAGCAAAAGATTAATTTACATAAATAATATTTAAATAAACACTTGTGTACAAAGCGTACTTAATCCTGTGTATGTGAAGAGCAACGAATGGGTAGCACATTTGGCGCCATTTTTTCCATGGGCCCATGTGGCTTCGATGGACATTTCAAATTCTTTGTAACACATACGTGTCCGAATTCATCACGTCCGGTCCGCGTTTGGCACCTGTCCACCACTACAACCAGCTAAGTACCTTCCACAAACAGCAGCATCTGCGGGCAGGTGAATCGCCTCTGTCGCGACCCTACTAATAGTCTAGTCGAGATTTCTCCAAAACACTTGATTGCGTGTACTGGGAGATAAAGCGATGTATGTAAATTTTGAAAAAAAATGTTCATTGCCACTCTCAACTTTATAATTTATCTTCAGCATTAGCAATTTTACATCTATGCTCGCCACCCTGCATTTTTGAAAAAACGTTTGCTTGCTCTGTTGCTGATCCATATCTACATGTGGGAAGTTGACAGATGTATTTTGTCAGTTGCAGAGTCTCTCCAGATACCTTCTTAATACATAACTTATTGAAAACGCTTTACAGACGATTAGATATATAGATTTTGTTCATGTTTACCACATTTTTGAAGTAGTGATGATTTAATATGCTTCATTTATATGCTTTTAAAATCAGTGGCTTTTCTTGGCGGAGACAAAAATCTCAGAGACTGCACCGATTAACCATCTCAACTTCCCAAACTACGAGGTGCACTCCAATCTGAGAAAGAACGGGGGAGTTGTGGCTTTTGTCCGCAGCAGTCTTTCCTGCTCCAGGGATCTTTCTTTGGAATCAGACCGGAAGGACATTCTGTGGCTTCGCCTCAACTCCAAAACATCACCCAAATTTATTTGCTGCCTTTATCGCTCTCCCTCGAACCATAACTGGGATGACCTACTCGAATACCTCGCCGTCCAGATCGACTTCCTGAACATCAATCACCCCGCTTCAGAGGTAGTTCTTCTCGGTGATTTCAATGCCCATAATGAGCTTTGGCTAGGGCTCAAATAAGACCGATGCAGCAGGTCGTGCAGTCGAAGCGTTCGCTCTTACTCAAGGGCTGACCCAGCTGGTGACGAGCCCTACTTTTTTCCCCCGCGTCTCGTCACACGCCAGTAGCCTTACGGACATGCCGACTGGGAGGGGCTCAGAGACTTCTTCTCTAGCTTTCCTTGGAGAGATGTCTGTTTCACTGACGCGGATGCGTCGACTGTCTGTTCTTCAATAACTGAAATTATCCACGTCGGAATGGAGGAATACATCCCTCACACAGTGAAAGTTCCTAAACCAGGGTCCAACGGCTGGTTCAACAAATCGTGTGACACTGCTCGCCAGCAGAAGATCAAGGCCCACAGAACCTACTTACAAAACCCCACTGTAGAGAACAGACAAGCCGACGTCGAGTCCAGAAACAAATATAACGAAGCGGTTCGCAATGCCAAAAACCAGCATGATATAAAAGTTAGGCACAGGGTAATGTCGCAGCGCAATGGCAGTCGGTCTTTCTGGACGCTGGCCAAGCAGATTGAAAAGAACTTCTCACACAGTAGCCTTCCACCACTTACGTGTCAGGATGGAACTATTGTATTCGACTCAAAGGCCAAGGCGGAAGTGCTAGCCAAGATCTTTGCTGCCAACTCCACTATGGACGTCCCCACCAACGCCCAAGTGTCGTCAATTCAAAGGGTTCCCCACACTATGCGGGAGGTAACATTCAGGCATAAGACCGTAAGACGAGTGCTCTTGTCGCTCGACATCAACAAAGCTTCTGGTCCGGACTTGATTCCTGCCATTGTACTGAAGAGATGTGCAGCGGAGCTTGCTCCAGTTCTTTCGCGTCCTCTTCCAGATATCTTATGAATCCGGCACCTTCCCAGAAAACTGGAAATTTGCTCATGTACAGCCCATCCCAAAAAAAGGATCTAAAACCGACCCTTACAATTACAGGCCTATAGCTCTGCTTTCTGTTATAAGTAAAGTGATGGAGAAGTGCATAAATCGCGAGCTTCTGGACTACCTCGAACGTCACAGCTTGATTAGCGACAGGCAGTACGGTTTCCGGCACCAACGATCCACAGGGGACCTCCTAGCTTACGTCACGCAACTGTGGAGTAAAGTCATCCAGTCTCATGGTGAGGCTCATGTCGTTGCTCTTGACATCACGAAAGCGTTCGATCAGCTGTGGCACGCTGCCCTCTTAGGCAAACTTCCATCCTATGGCAAATTGAGCAATCTCCTACCCATCATATCCAACACGTGCTCAATTGGGGATAAGTCGGGAGATCTTGGTGGCCATGGTAACAATGTGGCATCATTATGTTGAAAGAAGTCTATTGTGACTCTTGCAACATGTGGTCGGGCATTATCTTGTTGGAAAGTTGGATCTGCCAGGGTGTCAAGATAGGGTAAAAGATGGGGTTCTAGAACTTCGTGGATATAACGCTGCGCGTTCATGTTACCTCTGATGAAGATTAATGGTGACCTGGAACCATAAGCTATAGCACCCCAAACCATAACTCCAACAGTGTGATGAACATGTCTTTCAACAAAAAACTGTGGATTCCTCCTTTCACCACGTCGCCTTCTAACCCTGGCACGACCATCGTGCATGCCTAAACAAAATCGAGACTCGTCACTAAAGACAATACTGTTCCATTCCTGATCCCAGAGTTACCGTTGTCTGCACCACTCAAGGCGATTACGTCGGTGTTCTCGAGTTAAAGGGAGGACCCAGTGTGGCCGGTATGAAAACAAGCCAAAACTTCTCATTCGTCGGTAAACACTTCGCATGCCAATAGGTCTTCCGTGTTCTGCAAACCATTCATTTGCAATGCACCTGGTAGTGGAGAAACGGTCCCTTAAGGCCAATAATCTCAGGCGGCGATCTTCACGGTCTGTTGTTCTACGGCGGCGTCCAGTGCCCCTTGCTCTTTGCGTACGGCCTTCTCGAAGCCATGCCTGACAACACCTAACCACAGTGTCTACACTTCTTTGCACTCTAACTGCAATTGCCCGAAAAGAAAGTCCAGCTTCCCGAAGTCCCACTATACGGCCCCTATCAAACTCACTAAGTTGACGAAATCGTACAGGTCTCCGCACTCTAGGCATCGTAACCGATCGTAAAGGATGTCAAGAACAAAAATCCGCCAACGTTGATTCTTTACTGCGGCTGAAATATTCATTTTTAGAGCGTTAGTGAATTAAAAAAAAGCAATATAAAAACCGGAATGTCCAACTGATAAGGCTGAACATTTTTTCACTTGTTATTTACAGTAAGATAAATACATTCACCAACTTTTATTAAAATAAAATCATTTAAACTGGGTGTTCGGATTTATATGTCACTTAGTATAATTATTAAACATGATGTACAATTTTTCGTGATATATGATATATGTATACTATGACGCAAAGTCTATTAGGTATTTATATTAACAGCTAACAAGGAAAATATCGTTTTTATGGAACTTAGAAGATATACAGGGTGTTTGGTGCATCGTTTGCCAAATTGAAATGGCGGACAAAGGAGGTCTTTTTCTATCACCCCAAGTCCCTCAAACAGTTTTTAGCACAGCGGAATTAATTATGTAGATTTTTTAATTTTTTTTTTTAGTAAAAACTCCAATATGTAATACACAAAGGGAAAAATAAAGAGTATGTCCACCTAATGATTAATTTATCTCAATGGGTGATGTTGTACCAATGTTACAAAATCAACATTACTTGCCAGCAGCGTGTAGTTTTTTATTTATAAACTCACAAAGGGTTACAAAGAAGAACAAAAAAATGTAAGTCTCAATTTTGAATTTCTGGGGAGACGTATAGCATCCTCTCGCATAAATATAACGTCGCGAACCGACGTAGTCGTAATCTACGACGTTGCAACACGTCTACATTTTTTTTATTTCTTCTTTTGGGAGAAGCGGCCTTCCTTTTCGGCGATGTTGCAGCCTTCGCCGTTTTCGGTTTTGGTGCTTTTGGCTTCTTGGTCGGAGCTCCCTTGCTGGATTCCTTCGCCTTCGAAGGAGATTTTTTGCAGGCGCTGCAGAAGGTGCCGCAGAAGAAGCTTTAGCCGACGTCGCCGATTTCCCACTTTTCTTTGTCTTAGCTGGAGAAGCTTTCTTCTCGACCGCACCACCGGCCATCGCCGGTTTCTTAGCCTTCGGAGATGTCTTCTTCGCCGATTTCGCACCGCTAGCCCTCTTAGCTACGGTTCCGCTCTTCTTTGAGCCGGTCGCGGATTTCTTCTTCTTTTCGCCAACCTTTGCGGCTGATGATGATGAAGTTTTCGACGCTGACGAAGCTGGCTTGAACGATCCGGAAGCTCCTTTGCTTTTCGTCTGTACTAAAGCTCCAGACGCGACGGACGATTTTAAGTACCTCTTGATGAAAGGCGCAACTTTCTCAGCGTCTACTTTGTAATTAGCGGCTATGTATTTCTTGATAGCTTGAAGAGACGACCCGCCACGCTCTGTCAATCTTTTAATTGCGTTGATCACCATTTCGCTAGTAGGAGGATGAGACGTCTTCGCCCTCGGATTCTTCGGTTTTTTCTCTTTTTTTCGCAGGCGACTGCGACGTCGGCGACGCAGAATTCGCGGTAGCCGTGGCCTTCTTCGTGGTCCTCTATCTTCTTCTACCCACACACGACACACACGCATTACCGTCATTGCAGTACAATAAATACACGTATTTCTGCCGCGTCACAGCATAGTGTTTACTACGCCCTGACCGCGCTCCCTCTTCTGATCGGGCTAAGTATCGGGGAGAGGCGACGTTTCCAGATGCGCTTCCGGAATGGCAGGGAAAGAATGAATTGTTCGCTGAGAGAGTATAGTTTGGCCTGGACATAATCCTTTATAAACTATAACGGC